TGACTTTGTCGATCGAGTAGAAGACCAGTTGAAGCAATGGTTTCATCGATTCAATCTCATCCAGGTTTTTGCTACTATTGCTCGGGACTGTGCATCACATCAGTGTCAGTATATTAATGAACATTTCGACAAATATTTGTACAAATTCTTACAATTGAAGGCAAAAATTAACATTCGCTTTACATCTGGAAGTTTAATGGGTTGAGTGTCTCTGAAAAAACATTTCATAAATGAATAAACAGTTTAATAAGTTTAGTATAAAATTAAATACTCGGCTAATCTGTATCCGGAATATTGATCCGTGAAATGTATGAAATCAATGCATTCCTCATATTTCTTAAGTAGTGAAATCACTTTGGCGTCGAGCAGAACACCGGCCGCTTCTCCTATTTCGTTGAGTAACACAAACTTATCGCCCATTACTCCGTACTTTTCCGGTGACTTCTTCTCCGGACAAAATGTATTCTGTTTGCAGACAACAAACAATTAACTCAAACATCACTTCATTTAGTTCTCAATTACAATATCATTCATCTCTTTGGCCAGTCTTTGGGCACTCTTTTTGCTGGCGATGCAGAAGACATAGCTGTCCATTGCGTCCACATTTAAAGTCACTTTTTATTTTACTATTTATTATTCTTGAATTGCTATAATAAATATACTGTAGATAACGGTACAGTATTTCATAACTATGATAGTAGAAAATCACAATACTGTATACGGGTACATAATTTCATTGGGAAAGTATATTATTTACATTTGTAATAATTTATTAAAATATTCCAAGCAGATTTTAATTTTCTATTATGTGATAAATATAAATATTGAATTCTTATGTAAGTTCATAATCATTACGGTAGTAATCTATATAAATTATTGTCCGATCTGTTATAATGACTTGCATTTGTCGAGATATTTTTATTAAAATAGTAAAGTCACTTGAGTTAGTTGTAAAAATATTTAATTCATATAAACGACATTAAATATGACTTTAAATCGCCATAATCCGGTAAATATTTTCTTAATTAAAATACAAAAAAAATTGGTCTTACAGTTTGGTTTTCCCTAATAACGTCTATAATACTCTTATCTCTAATTATATTGTTTTATGTTTTTAATCAAATTGTATATTTTTATTAGATATTATTTTACATTTCTTAAATTTAGGACATTTTATGTAATAAAGAGAAGTAAACTAAAAATCATTGTTTTTATTACAGATACTTATAAATATAATAATATTTATTCATTCTTTTAATGATAAGATATTTATTTCTGTTTAGTTTTGAAATATTTTGACGCAATTGCTTATCATTAATCATTAAAAACGTTTCAATTCTCATCACAAGTTTAAAGTCACAAGAATCGTATCAATAGTCAATAAAAAATAAGTTTAATTTAACAATATTTGTAAAAATTGATTTCAGTTTGTCATGTCTAGACTCAATTGAAATTAAAACTTAACTCAGTTTAAATAAATATTATTTCAAATTTTCAAATAAAGTAAATAAGATTTTCTTTATTTTTTTAAATAACTTACAAAATGTTAGTTATTCTTATAAAATAAATTTTATCACAAAATTGCTATTTTAATTTTAAGTAAAAAACTTTTAAATTATAGCAATTTATTGATTCAAAAATTTATTCGTATAATCAGTTGGGTTAAGGACAGCATTATAGGCATATATTTAGGTCAACACATATCATATTTAGTTCACTCAATGCATAAATGATTATATTTTGATATAATTTTTTAGCATTTTTATGCGAAATTTATTAGTTAATTGAAAATTGTGTTTATTTAAAAGCAATGAATTGACATCTTTTATAAATTTAGATCCGGAAATGTGTTACTTTCTAAATAAAATGATAAAATAATTTTATTATAAATATTCGCCAGATATCTCGTAATGGTTTAAAGTTATCCTAAAATTGTAAATAAAATCATTAAATTCTGTTTTTATTGACGCAAACCATGTTTTCTAAAAATTCATGTTTCTGTTGAATTCAATTTCATTTTCAAGTATTTTCTCATGAGATGTATAATCTTTTTGCAATCATTGTGTAATCAAGTGCTTGCAAATTATTTAATACACTTATTAATTCACTTTTAACTCGTATGTGCTCATCATCATATTAATTCTGTATGTTGCACAGGGAGATGTACATTAGAAATGTTGAAAACCAGGGTCATTCTGTTGCCAAGTGGTATTTGGCGAAAAATGAATTCAATTAAACATAATATAGCGATCATATGAATATCATATGAATTACACGATTGCTTTGACCGGTTTATAACAGCTTAACGTATCCTTAACTGAATTATTAATTACCACTCATTTTATTAATTATTTTTTTAATCACTAATAATTTATTAGTAATAAAACTATTAATTATTTAGTCTAGACACAAGTAACAGAAAACAATGATTTTAAAATACAGAGGATAAGTTTTATAACGTATTGTACTCACACTATAATTAGAAAACAAATGTTATTTTTTGAACACATTATCTTTTGTTCCTTACTTAAGGTTTTTAAACTTTTGGTGCAATGTTTGCAAACTTTAAATGAGCCTAACATTAGAGAAATGTAATGCCATAAACCAAATTAACTTCTCATTCAAGTAATCATAAAATAAATTCTAATTTATTTAAAAGCAATTTATAATAAAATATTAATTTATTCTAAATTAAATAAAATACAATAATACTAAGAATACCAGGAAAATAATAACAATCTCTGGTGAGCTATACATTGAAAACATATATTAACAACAGTTAATAGTTTATCAAATATTCATCAAAAACATTGTGACAAAGAATAAGACGGGGAATAGAGTTACAAATGTTTGAGAGTTTATTAAANATAAGTGGAAAATAACCCCAAATTGGTATTCAACACATGAGATGTATGACTGAAATGATGAAAATATGGTATCAAATATGTGGCCATAAATACTCCAAACATTTCCATAAGTTATTTTTAATTTTGGGAAATTCTGTGCATTTGATGCCTGAATACAGTATGAGACAGACTTTTGACTGAATATTGTTTGCAAAGTGTGTGCAAATGAGTGATAGTATGACTTGTGCTCAATATCTTATCATTATTTCAATTTCAATCAATATAGACATTGCAACTATTTGTATGCATAATAAATGATCATGCTTATATGATATCATAGAATATTGAACACTAGGTATTCCTATTCCTAAGCCATACTCTGCAAGCACTTCACATTCACTTGAATGACAAGTGGTGTGAATGGTGTTGGAGTCCAAGCACTGCAGGTGTACTCATAATCGTCGAGTGGTTTCAGCTCTTGTGGTAGACTTTGGGCCCAGAATTGAGTAATTGTTTGCTTCAGAGGTTTAGTGGGAAAGTGTTTGTCTTACTGTTATTCAACGCAATGCTCATCAGAGACGGTGTAATAGGCCTGTCATATGATCGTACAGTCGTGTCATATGCTCTCAATTGCATTCACTGCACACACACCACACATACATCTCATGCACACATAACCACCAATTCCTGTCCCCTATGCGTAATATTCTGTGAATTGCGTCCAGAATTGAATGCAAACGTATAGACAGTGAGCCTCCCATTGAGCGCTACTCGTGACAGAGTATGTGATGTTTGATGTATTGATTGGTTGTGTTGTGTGTAATGCTGTGCAGTGTATGTGTTGTCCGCCATATCAACTGCACAGTGAATGCAATGCACA